TGCCCATGTTCTGGGTAAGCTTCTGATGATCTTTTTCACATGATCTGCTTTGGTATATCCTTTGTTCAAAACTCTCAGACCAGCGATCAACGTTTGAAACCTAGAGAACATTGCTTCTATAGACTCACTCTCTTCAACTTTGAAGGCTTCATACTTATGAACTAAATCCAGAGCTTTAGGCTCCTTAACTTGAGTGTTTCCTTCATGAGTCATTTTGAGAGACTCAAACATATCATGAGTTGTATCTCTATTAGTGATTTTTTCATATTCTACTTTAGAGATAGCATTTAGAAAAATATTTCTAGCTCTATGATGATTTTTAAAATCAGCTTTTTTTTGTCTATCCATATTTTTTCTATCCACTTTGTTTCCTTCTTAATCTATAGGATGTTTGTAACCATCCAAGACTATATCCCAAAGATCACTATCATGACCTAGAAAGAAACTTTCTAGTCTATCTTTCCAGTACTCAAAATCTTCTCCATCAAACACTGGAGGTTTGTTGTAACTATTATTATTTTGTTCAGCGGCCATTATGTTTTCTTCTGGATCTTTTCCTGACACGGTTAAGTGTTGTACTCAGAGTCAAGCTCTGATACCAATTGAAGGGGTAAGAAAACACTTAGAAGGGGGGTTGAATAAGTAACTCTTTTCTTTTCCAAAACAAATCTCAACAATAATGGAAGGACAAGGTTATTTTTATCCTGGTTCGTTTGAACTCAAACTAATCCAGTCCACCCACCAAGGTGATTTTGCCTTTCTCAACAAGGACTTAATCCACTATAATCAATTGATTACAAACACACAAAAATTGTTCTGACTAACAATGCACAAGTAATCTTACAAGTGACTAACACCACTAAGACTTAAAACTAGTCCTAGTCTGCTTGAGAAATCTGACCAAACTTGGTCTCTCAAGGAACAAATACAAGAGTTTAATCTTTACAGATAGTGAAATAAAATTTGCTTCTAATTAAGCTATATCACAACTGTGATTTTTCACTTAGAATATAATGCACAAATTGTATGAACAATGAGTTTGTGAGCTTAGAATCTTTCACGTAATTTCTTGCTTCTGTTTTGAAATCTGATTGGTTAACTTCGTTGTTGGCTTGCAATAAATGTCCTTCTATTTATAGTAGGAACAATAAGACCGTTGCTGCCTTCAGAAAAGTTGGAGAGCATTAAATGCTTGCGTGTTTCCTTGCAATATTCCATTTTCCAAGAAACTAGTGTAGATACTTGAGTGCTTTCAGCCGTCTTTGCATTAATGAGCAAATGACAGAATGTAAGAACATGTTTCCTACGCTTTGACAAGACAAGTTGGTTTTAACGTTCTTTCACAATTTGCTCTAATGTCTTTAAATCAGAACATGCTTCACACATCTTCTAGGCAGTGCTTTGCTTGCTAAGAACTTGATCAGCGCTTGCTTTCAAGTAACCTTTTGAGCAAGGAACCTGCTAAGAGTTAGAAGATATATTTAAAAAATAAAGTGTCTTACCAAAGTCAGCAGATGCGCTTGAAGAAAAGGTTCTTTCATCAAAGAACTTCTTCATAATTTTTGCTTGGCACTTCAGAATGTTTTCTGTCAGATCATAATCTGAAACATTCAAACGTATTCATCAGAGTATAAATGATCTTAAATATAATTTATTGTTATCATCAAAACTCTGAGATAGGTCAGAACTTATCTTGTTCTTACACAACTGTCGAAGGTTTATGCTCCTTCCGTTAATTCAAGTCCTTAGAATACAAGGTTGGTTAAACTTCTTCAAAGGTCAGGGACTCTCTTTCATACAAGAGGTTTTTTTTGAAGTGAGCATGTGATTTGGGCAAAGCACACAACAACAACAACGCTTGATCTTCATCATCGATCTTCACATTAACATTTTCATGATCAAGAATCAGCTTGTTGAACATATCCAACTGCTCAGTCAATATTTTATCTTCAATCATCTTGAATGAATACATAGCTTGTTTCATGTAGAGTCGATTAACCAACGATTTGGTCATGTACAAACTTTCAAGTTTCACCCATAACCTTGTCGTCGTCGTCTCCTTTGATACATGTTAAAGAACTTTATCTCCAAGGCTCAACAAGATTTTGTTGTGGGCTTTCTCTATCATCACCGTCTTTTCTTTTTCTGTTAACACAATATCCATGGCTGCCACTCCCTTCAACGCTTCCAAACAACTATGATGAACCGGTAGGGATTTCATCTTCAAACGCCACAGACTGAAATCGTTCACTCCAGTGAACTTTTCAATCTCATACTTTGTTGAAGGCGTCTTATCCACGCTCACCGCACCAATTTGTTGTGAAACATGATACCTTTGAAACAAAGTATAAACTGTTTATTTATGATCCTGAAATAATTAGGGTAGAAAACATGAAAGAACACGAAGAACAACAATGATTGGTTATAACTTTTATTCTTTACTTTCTTTTAAATCAAGCTTACAAGTACACAAGAATAACAAATAACCCTCTCACCTTAAATTACGATTTACAGTATACAATGATGAGAGACTAGTATGCTATTTATAATAAACCTAACATACTAAACTAATGGCCTTTTTCACAAATACCCATTACAAGTTAACTTAGGGTACAAGCTAACTTAAACAATTGGACATAACAAACATACCCAATTCGAAATACTAACAACCCTAGTATTTCGACACCCACATACTAGAACACACTTCAACTATAATATATAGGTCTTCGACATCAACATGTGAACATACTTTGATGTCATGCATAAATCTTTTCGAACCAGAAGCTACTCTTCGACCCAATAGAGTTTGATCCAATACCTCACATGGTCGTTGCATCGATGGAAGCAAAAATATCAAGTTTTCTCCACTCCAAGACGTTCACAAATATGTTTTGATGGCTCCACATATTCTTCTTTGAATTCAACATTGATGCCCTCCTGCATGATATATTATTTTGCTCGACTCTCCTTTCTTAAGTCTCCCTCTAAAGATAACTTTGTTAGCTGTCAACTTGTCCTCGTATTGTATGTACGTTTTAGTTTGGTCACGTACATTATTGAATGTTCTTGGTGCTTTAATGTTTGATAATCTCAGAGAACTTCGATCTTGGTTGCAACCCAAGGTTGAGGAAATACTTCTTCATCTTATCGTCGGTAGGGGTGACAAAACGGGCCATGGCCTTCCAGGCCGGCCCGCGCACCCGTAAAAAAATAGCGGATTGAATTAGGATTTTAGACCCGTCGTCCACCAAAACCTGCCCCGCTAAAGAACGTCGCCCGTCAAAGTCCGCCCCGCCAAAACCTACATCTCGCCAAAACCCGCCGCGCCTATTCGTTCAGCTTGTCTCACCTTAAGTCTGCCATTTTTTAGTTAATTCAAGTATGTCTAATTCTTGATGGTTTTATTTTATACATTTATTTGTGAATATATGAAATATTTTTTTAAGTAAATTTTGTTTAAAAGATGCTTTATTAAAAAAAAACTTAAAAATAAGAGAAAAATCTTATTAAAATGTAAAAAAAAAAACAAAAAAAAAACCTTTTAATATATTAAAAAATGAAATAAATAAATAAATAAAATAAGCGGATAAGCACGCCGCCCACCAACCTGTCACCTTAGCGGGACGAGTTAGATTTTTATGTCTATTTTTATTTGATGACTTACCCGCTTTGCTCGTTTTTTAGCAGACTTACGACGGAATGGAACAGGACAAAGCGGACGGCCTGTTTTGCCACCACTAATCATCTGTGTGTTTAGCTAATATGATCTCTTTGTTGAATCTCTGTATATAAGATCTCAACGTTTCTTCCTTTTCTTGTATGAGGAATCTCAAGCTTTCTACGGATTTAGGCTGCTTTCTTAAAAAGCAAGTCTCTCGTTTTTGTTTGTATATTAATCAAACTATTAAGTAATGTATCTAGCAAATGATTTTTTTATATTTTTAAATTAAAGTATTTAAATTTCATTTTCAATTTGACCTTGAAACTAGATTAGGTCCTCTCTCTACTTTCTCGACTCACAAAACTCACTTCCTCCCAAATTCAAAAAAAATGTTTCTAAGATATGTGGAGTTTGTTAATGGTGGTGTGATGGGATTCCTCCACAAGGATTATCCGCACTACCCTTAACCCCAATGGGATTGTTGTGTTACTTTTCATCCTCGTCATTGTTCTCCAATGATTTTGTTTTGATATTTGTAGCTTCATATCTTCTCAGGTGCAGGTGTGGTTGACTTTTCTGACTTCTAGACTCACTATTTGATTTCAGTTCTATTTAGATTTGAAAGTTTCGAGATTTAGTTTCTCTCCACAACGTCGAAGTCCACTTCTATCAATTGAGATTGATTACACACCATTTGGCCTTGTTGCAGTGAATTGTTGGTCTATGAATTTGTTCATCATGTATGGATATCTGTCTCTGAATTCTGATTTGCTTTAATCTTTTGTTTTTATTGGATCATACTCTATGTCCCCTCACTTTCATATTGGTCTACATTATTTTAATCTATTTAGGGTATTGTAGATTTCTGCATCCCATTTGCTTTAAAAAATAATGTACCTTAATAAATAAACAATAATCTACCTAAATATGTTATACTACTGACACATAATCACTGGCAAACATCAGTTGGTAAGTCACTACATTGAAAAACAAGCATGAATCATCAAACAACTTTTTTAGGATAAACCCTCTTATGAGACACTTGAACTTGTGTCATGAAATGGAGACAGTTTTGCAACAATGCTCGGGGAATTATATTCAGAACAAAGGAACCATCATCTGCAGAGAAGAAAAGAAAAAAACATTAAAACTTGAGCGCAAGCATTTGTACTAGAACGCTCAAGATTTCATTTCAAGACTTCATCAATGGATCCATATCAATCATATGTTTTTTTGAGGATATTTCATGTTGATGTAAATTATTTGCTTCTAAATCCTTTAAGATGGTTTTAAGAACATCCTTTCAATTTTGAACAAAGAAAAAGGATTCTTACCATTCTTATTCACGAAACGGCGTGAGATCAATGTTAAATGGCTTCTTCCCTTTGCTTACCCTCTACAAGTAATCAAGCTCGAGTTAAATCAAATATACATGCTCAAAACTCAAAGCAAAACGGAAAAATGAAACTGATTTTATCTTTCCGCTGAAAAGCAAATGTATTTCCACTTATAATCATAAATTTCAAACAACTTACAGAAATAGCTATGAGTTCTTCAAGTAGCTCCTCTAAGTGGCGCAAAGGCTGTCGAATAAGGGGATTTTGTATATATGTCATTAAACACGTGTTGAGGAAATGGTGTTTAAAAATTTGAACTATGATAAGCAACAACTCACCCACTGTGTTGGACCATCTACAGGTGCATTTAGTGGATCATCATGCACCTGAAAACACAAGAAACTTTTTAGAAGCTCATTGATAGAAAAACAAAATAGTTAACGAAGCTCGTTTAATAGTAGCTTTTGGAGTTACAAGCATGGTAAATATATTTCGGAATTTTACCATGAGGGTGAACTACTTTGGTTAATAACAAAACTAGCAAATGATAACCGGCCTAACTATTCTTTGTACCTCCATGAAGATCCCATCCACTCCAACGGCAACTGATGTCCTTGCAATGCAAGGTATTAGTTCTCGAAGACCTCCACTTGCAACACCTCCTCCATCCAACTATAGATGAAACTATCATGTTACTGTGTTTTTATCATATAAACATAGGAATCAACGATATAAAACAAACCTTCTTTCCGGCAGGTTGTTGTAGCGAGTGCGTTATATCAGCTACCTGAGAGAAAATACAATAATTTTGAGTTTCCAGAAAATAGGTAGAGATATATCATAAAAGAAATATTTACTTACAACAGGACAATTGGCTTCTCTTATCCACTCCAGATTACGTGGATCAACAATCAAATCATCTACATAAGAAGGGAAAATAATTTAATCAATCAGAAAAACAAAGGGAAATCGATTTCATGATTGTCATTGTAAGGCAAAGTTTAACCTCGGATTAATAAAAAGGTTTGTTCTGAGTTGGGATAGAGAAATAATTAGCATCACTTAAGGTCTTTTCTTAGTTAAAACAAATCATGCAATACACTGCAAAGAGGTTCAGAAATTGAAAACATATAAGACCTCAAAAAAAATGTTATCAACTCACTGTAGCCAAACATTGTTCCTCTCTCACAAACCATCACATTAGGATTTCCAGCTAACCGAACCTTTTCCGCTGAATTCTCCATGACCTATATGTATGAAGATTAAGAATCATATAAATAATATTGCTAAAAACAGGGAAAATTCATTCTGAAGCTTAAGTTATTGTTAATAATTCATAGATTTGTAAAGAATGAAATTTGAAATACTAACAGAAGGAGCGCAGAATTGGCCCTTCTTGATGTTGATAATCTTTCCAGTTTTGGCTGCTGCAACTAGAAGATCTGTCTGCCATTAGAAGCAAAATAAACGAAACAGATGGTGTTGGCACATTTTTTAAATTTGATAGTGATGATACAGCTACGATAATATAGAAATTGAATGTGAGACATATTTACTTGGCGGCATAAGAATGCTGGAATTTGAATGATATCTGCAACTCTGCCAACTGGTTCACACTGGCCAAAGAAATGATAAATGTGTTAAAGGAAGATCAGGAGTCAGAATCGGAAATATTATTGTCGCACTCCCCGTGCAGTTATTTGTTGGAAAAATCTACTCAACCCTTTAATAAGATCAATTCATATATTGTGAAATTATCAATTAAGATGTGTAATAACCACTGGGAAATGCTAGCTATCCAACATTGGTGTCCTTACCTCTTAAGGAGAAAATTTACTGTATGTACTGACCATAAAAGTTTTAAACAAATCCTCACACGAGCTATTACTCTGGGCAGCTAAGCTGCTGGAAAACCGATTTGATATTGTTTACAAATTACAAGCCAGGCTTGGAGAACAAAGGAGCTGGTGCCCTGCCAAGGGTGTACGAAGGAGCAGAAATACGTGCAATGATTCACAAAGCAGTCTGGGAGAGGAGTCAGAACATTATTGATGAGGTTCACTGAGATGTAAAACTAATTTGCATCATTCAGGCTATGAAAGAAGGTCAGGAAACACACAAAGGGTTCAGCTACAGAGAGGGGGTACATTTGTTCAAAAGGAGGCTGGTGGTGTCCGAACAATCAGCAGGTATCCCATGAATGTTGAAGTAAATTCATGAGACCTCCCAAGGAGGACACTCAAATTATTATCGAACCCATCAACATGTAGCGGCTAATTTATTTTGGTTCAGATGACCAGTTCTTTCCAGCAGTTCATAAATGCTTGCGACGTTTGTCAACACCAAAACAAAAGTACTTGGCTGCAGCTCCGGGGGTTTACTACAGCCTCTGGGTATTCCGAAGCAGGTTTGGGAAGAGACTTTGATGGATTTTATCACCAGATTGTAAAAATTCAAAAGCTATGAGGCTACTATGATGGTAATTACCAGAGTGAATTTGTTCCTCTCAAACATCTTTATTCTGCTAAATTGTTGGCTGGAAGTTTTACTAAGGAGGTAGTAGATTTGCAAGGAATCCCCGCTTCAATGTTCATTGACTGCGACCCTATCTTTGTGAGTTTCTTTTGGAAAGAGTTCATCATGCTGCAAGGCACCTAATTGAAAATTAGCATCGCCTACCATCCTCAAACAGATGGGCAGTGGTTACCATGAGCGGAATATAGGTACAATATCAATTTTTAAGTATCTACAGGCACCGCCCTGTTTGAGAGCGTGTATATCCTCACCAGTGTTGAATTATTTCCTACCAGGAGAAGTCAGAGTAGAGGCACTTGCAACAGGATCAATACAGCATGAAGATGCAAGTTGACCACCATAGGACTGAAAGTATGTTTGAAGTAGGTAGGTGGTGGATTTTTCTCAAGCTATGACTCCACAGTCAGCTCACTGTAGGGGCCAGAGTTAGTTTCAAGTTGTCGCTTCGTTACTACGCTACAGCCCTTTTCAGGTGTTGGGGAGTATAGGGGTTGTGGAGAACAAGCTCCACCTGCCTGAAACGTCGCGTATCCATCCTATATTTCATGTATCCTTGCTTAAGAAGGCTGTTGGCAATTATGATGTGCAAGACAAACTGCCACCAGAACTGGAAGGAGGCAACAGCAGCGGGTTGGAACTGGTGGCAGTGCTGTCTCGCAGGATAGTGATGCAAGGATGCTATTCTGTTCAGAAAATCTTGGTTCAGTGGAAAGGACAGAGTGTAGAAGATGCGATATGGGAGGATAAACTCAACACTCAAAGACAATGTCCTCAGCTACGACTTGAGGACAAGTCTGTTTCTCTATGGGGAGGGATTGAAAGGGAAATGAGACTAGATGGGGGCGCTGATGTTAAATCCAGGGTGTGAAAGGTGTATGTGAGGAAGAACACGGAAGGCAAAGAGAATAATGAGCTGGCAGCTGTTGTAACTGAATGAATGTGAGTTGTGGAAGTGTGGCTTATGTAAGGGGGGAGAGGGAAGAGAGATGGTATCCAGAAATTAGTTGTTGGTTGTTTGGGTAGAGAGCTCTAGATTCTCTGTAGGAGCATTGCTCTTAGAAGAAGAACTTCCATTCCTAGCTGAGTTCATTCATTATTAAATAATACAACATTCCTCTCATTTGTGAGTCCTTTTTTTCTGTGATTATCACTTTTTCCATTAAAATCCCTTTCTAGTTATTGTTCTTATATAGACGGGTTCCTTTGGTTATGAGTCATCTACTTAGTACTTACATGTATGGGAGGAAAAAACATATAAATATTTAATCAAATCTAGGTATCAATTATTTCGTTTAATTTTATCAGTGTAGCAATTCCATTTGTCCAAGCATGACTTAAAGAAAACCTTGTCCAACTTTCTTCCTCTAAAATCGACAAATACGTAATGATATCCCTTCAATAACGGATAATCAAGACCAAACTAGTCTGATTGGTAAGCTAAAAATACTACTGTATGGGAGTCTTGACAAGGAAAACGATGCTATGGACTATGAATTCTACAAAACAGACACACAAAATGTGAAACCAACAATCATATATTTTATAAAAGTAAACAGACTTTTACCTGGCTGGCCTCATGCACATCTGTCACTATAGGGAGGTCGTAAGCTATTTTAACCTTCTCAAGTATCTGAGAGGGGAAAAAAGCAAAATTAAAGAAGAAAATTCATTTAACCATGACAAGAGAGTTTTATCCAGTGCAAAATTTTGTGATTTAGACATAATTAAGAACAAAATTCATTTAACAAACAAAAAAGTAATGTGATGGCAATTAAGTATTAGAAGTATGAACCTTCAATCCCTCAACCATCCCTGGGCCTCGAAATGATTTAGAAGATGTCCGATTAGCTTTATCGAAGCTTGATTTGAAAACCAACGGAATTCCAAATCTGGAAGATACATATATACTCAAGATCATGTTAGCTGTCATTAAAAAAGTAAAACCAACTATCATGCAACCCTGTACTTTTCATGTTAAAGATTATGACATCTCAGCTCAAGTAGTTATCATATACTAACATTTTGACTGACGATGATATAGAAAACTTGTACACTAATAATGTAGAAATAACATACTTAGATGAAATAGTTTTGATGTGTTTAGCCATCCGCATAATGTGTTCCTCTGATTCAATCACATTGGGACCTGCTAACAGGAAGAACGGGTCTGCAGCCTAGTGATTTCAAACAAACACAACCCATCAGATGTAAAAACATAAAAATCGCATTTTGACTACGACCCACAAAATTTCACATTCCATAAACTCATAATCAGAAAGAAATCACGAACCTTGAGCTGGTTATACAGCATTGCCGATGGATCCATTTTTTGTGAAAACGAATCTGGAAATAAAGGGAATGAATGGATTTGGAGTACTTCGGAGTTTGCTTGATTGATGGTGATGATGAGGATGCAATCAGAAGACGAAAAGGAAGATATTTGTCGGTGAGTGATTCATTCAGTTACTTAGCAGTGAATGTGAATTATGAAGAGGAAGATGCTCTCAATCTTTTTCTTTTCTTAGTGACACTTTTCATTTTTTCAATAAATAATAATAATAATAATAATAATAATAATAATAATAATAATAATAATAATAATAATAATAATAATAATAATAATAATAATAATAATAATAATAATAATAATAATAATAATAATATATTAGTATAATAAAATAATATACTATCAAAATTATTTTGATATTCTTTAAGAACTTAACGAGAGACTTAATTTCAAAGACGACATAGATAATTTATAGATGTAGTAATGATTAACAAAAAAAAAAAATAATAATGATTAATAGTAACCCAATTTGACACGTGGCAGGTAGAACATAAATGTCATTTCCATGGCATATATGTTTTTTATATTATAGATGGTAGAAGATTAAAAACAAAGCATTAAACAAATTGATTCGTGATATTAGAGAGTTTTTATAAACCGTTTTGATTCGAGACACAAGAATAGAAGTATATGAGAAGAATTTACCTGCAAAAGATTTTTAATTTATTTTCTAGACTTTGTCTTGTTCAAGCTACGAATACAGGTGTGGTTGTGTTGAAATCAAATCCGTAAAATTTTGTAACCAAACAGAGTCGAAACAGAGAGATGATTATTGAAACAGAACCTAATAAGCGACTTACTAGAGATAAAGAGTTTGGATCGGAGTTTTGAAGTTATGCAAACGAATTTGGAACGGAACCGTAAGAATGAAAGCAAGATTGTTGTAGTTTGTTTTCATAAAATTTGGAAAGAACAGAGAGTAAGATAGCGAGTTTGAGAACGAGGAGAGAAAGATGAAAAGAGAAACAGAGATGAGAAGGAATTCACGGTGAACAGAGAGATGAAAAAATATGGAAGTGTGGCGGGCAGAGAGAGGTATCGTGTGCTTTATTCTACATATCTTACTTTTGATTTAATATTTTTTTCGCTTTATCTTTTTCCTTCTTTAAGAATGATATGTTTTTGTAACTAATTAAAAGTTAGTATATAATTAAAATAATAATTATATAATTAACAGAGAGAAATTAAAAGTCTTTGTTTTCAATTTCCTTAAATTTAATGAAAATAAAAATTATATTCAATAGTTTTTAATATATTTGATTGTAAATTGTTTTTAATCAATTATATTAAATAATTATTACTAATTGAATTATATAATTTGTTTAAATATTTCTTCAATTTTAATCAATTATATTAAATAGTTATTGAGAAAATAAGTGATGTATTGTGAGTGTAAAATAGTTTTATACTGTCAACTAATCACAGTCATGTATCTAATTATATCTCACTTTTAATTTTAAATTTTTGAATGACATGACATATTGTTGATTTTCTATTGGTTCAACGTGTAAAGAAATTTTATTCTCATAGTTATTACTAATTGAATTATATGATTTATTTGAATATTTCTTCACTATAATTTATCAATTTAAAGTTTTTATTATTATAAAATATTTTTATTATCATAAAATATTTTTATTGTCATCAATTATTTTTAATTGATGATATTTCTATAAACCGGACTAAGTTTACTATTGATTTATATATTTTTATAAATAATTTCAACAAAAATAATATTTATTACTTTTATAGATGGGGAAATAAATATATTGTTGATTCAAATCATAATTTATTATTTTCTAAAACACGAGTACTAATATAGTACGCGCATGTAATACTGATATTAAACTATTGATGTAAATATTGAATAATAACAAGAATAAGTATCATGTATTCGCACGAGTAACACACCAGTATCATGTGTTCGCACGAGTAACAATATTAAAATCTGTGCAACCACACAAATTATTATAATTTTTGTACAATTAAAGAAAATAAAATTTAAACTAATATATTAATTCAAACACGGTTAAAATGTTATATTTTTGTTTTTTTAATTATTTATGTAAATAATATTTTTATTTTAAAATTATTTATAATTCAAGATACAAAATTATTTAAGATAATATATGAAAAATAAAAATACATATTATTGATGTAAAACAATTTTGATAAAACATATTTATTTTAATTTTAAGAATATGTCTTTCTTTTAAAAATATGATCAAAATATTGAATATTAACGGAAACATAAAATTATTGATCAAAATATTAAATATTAACGAGCAAATAAAATTACTGATCAAAATATTGAATATTAACGAAAACATGAAATTATTGATCAAATTATTGAATACTAACGAGAACATGAAGTTACTAATTATAATACAATATTGAATATTAATGGAAACATGAAATTATTGATCAAATATTGAATATTAACGTGAACTTGAAGTTATTAATCAAAATATTAAATATTAACGGAAATATTAAATTACTTATCAAAATATTGAATATTAACGAGAACATGAAGTTACTAGTCAAACTATTGAATATTAAATGGAACATGAAGTTACTGATCAAAATATTGATATTGAATAATAACGGAAACATGAAGTTATTAATTAAAATATTGAATATTAATGAGAATATGACATTATTGATCAAACTATTTAATATTAACAGGAACGTGAAATTACTAATCAAAATATTGAATATTAACAGGAATATGAAGTTACTGATCAAAATATTGAATATTAACGAGAAAATAAAGTTATTGATAAAAATATTAAATATTAATGGGAACATGAAGTTGTTGATCAAAGTATTGAATTTTAACGGAAACATGAAATTATTAATTAAAATATTGAATGTTAACGAGAATATGAAGTTATTGATCAAATTATTGAATATTAACGGAAACATGAAGTTATTGATTAATAATAGAACAATTTACTATTAATTTAAATATTTTTTACAATAATTCCAAAACAAAAATAATATTTATATAAAAATATATATATTATTGATTCAAATATTTTTATATATTAAAAGAATTATAGGCACTAATTTATCATCTTTTTTATAAAATTTTCATTTTATTTTTATTAAATTTTGAGAACAAATGTGCGTACCATACTCATACCCGTGTAAACGCACGAGTATCTCACTCATTTATTTTTAAGTTCAAGATGTTCTCCTTAACTAATTTTATAGGAATCTCTTTAACTTTTTTCAAACTTGCAACATCCTAACATTATGATAAATATTAGAAATTACTCTCTCTGTCTCATAATAAGTCTCTCATTTGAATTATACGCGATTCTTAAGAAAATAATTAAATGGGTTAATTTTAATGATAAAATAAATATTATTTATTAAAATATTATTATTTATTATAATTAGTGCACTAGTTGAAAAACGTAAAAATTAATAAATAGGAGTATAATAGTGGAGAAAAAAAATCTTGAATTGGTATTCTAAAGTGATATTTATTTTAAAATATAGAAAAAGTGATAGTGAGACACTTATTATGACACAGGTGAATAATAGATAGAAAGAAAAAAATTGAATGAAAAAAATTGAATGATGTAATATAACAAATGTTATCTTTTAACAAATGTTGAGTATATTTGATAAGAAAAATCTAAAGTTACTTTTAATCTTTTCAAATGTTGATTTTTAAAACATATCTTCCTCTCTAAATTTGTCATTACACAATTAAGAATTAAACATCAAAATTGTATGAATTTTGCAAATTGGAATAGAGGTAATCTAGGGATCCTCGATATATGTTAGATTGGTCTATATTAATAAATAAAATCAAAAAAATAAAATAAAATTTTAACACAAAATATGAAATTGATTTTTTGATTAATCTTTTTAAAAGCATGTTGATTGTTTTTTTCTTAATTCTTAAACAAACTAGATTTTTTAACGGGATAATAAATCAGACTTTAGCTTTTTAATTAAATCTAACTTATTTAAATAAAGTTCAATTTTACTCAAACTATTCTCACCCTATATATCACCAGATTGTGTAAGTGATCAATATCAGAGAAGATGGTGATGACCTTACTATCACATTTTTTCCTCTCTGTGATTTCTTTGTTCTCGTGTTATTTTTCATCATATTTTTTATATAAAAATGGCAATTCAACTAGTTTGAATTAATTGACCACAGCACTGCAACTGCAATGTATCAAAATTTCACCCTTAATTATATTAATGGAGCGTTTGAAAACTTACGTGAAAATATGTGTCTAGCCAACTCTACAATTGTTACCTTGTATATTTTCACGGTAGAAATGCATTGGAACGCGAAAATGGACAAGCAAAAGCATATTCAAAGATGCTATAAATGGCTCAGGTTTTGTTTATATACTCTTTAATTTTAAGAAAACGTTCCGTCTTGATATCAACTACACTACTACTTATTTGACATTGCCAAGGTAATAATATCCGCTACAATTCTGTAGCCAATAAAAGGATACATCAATAAATATGAACGAACTAGTTTAATGTACAATCAATGCCTGGTTAGCCATATCAACAATTTAAGCCAAAGAATGACAATGAGTTTAAATTCCTACAACCCTACCAAACAAAGTTTCAAGAGGACGAGCGATCATCAACAAACTCGCCAGTGGTAAGTAGTCTTGAGAATCAAGCAACAATCCTACTTAAATCCATATCCTAGTGCAGGATTTATAGGAATTGCCAGTCATCCTCATTGGTGCCTGCATCATTGTCGAGATTCGTATCAAGGGAATCATCGTCGAACATAGTGTTGTCACCTGACACAGAACTACTTGTGACTTGAATCGAGAGACTCCTAGATTGAGCTACCGTGAATAATGGTGCACCATTTGATTCTTCTGCAAGCTTAATAGCTCGGGAACAGAAATCGTCAAAGTCATCTGGCAGATAACATTGACAGAGTGATATCAGATGACAAAAAAAACACTTAGATATTATTA